CGCACGCGTCGGTGGCGCTTTCCTGTTAACCGTCACACATGGTAGTTTGTTTCCGCTGAACAAATTTTCCTGTTCAGCACCTTCAGCCTTGTAGTGACAGGATTGGCATTGCCTTGGGCTCTTAATTACCCCGAAATTTCTCATGTGATAACAAGAGTCGTCGTCTTCGTCACTACAGACCTTAAACACCACAGCCACCTTCACTACTATTCCAACAGCGACTAGTCACAATCAATAATTGACATTCGCGCGATGAAACGCACCGAAGCTGAGACACATTCGTTGGAGATCAAGATCGAAACCTGCATAGCTCTACACCCCGCATATCCCGATCGCTAGGTCGGCGACGTTGGGATCTTGGTGTTCTCTTATTGGCCACTTTAGATTACAACAACACAAAGCCAATTTAAATTATTTTTGTACACGAGATTACTTATTTAAGACTAAGTCTGAAAACATCTTATTGGCTGTATGTAATTTCTTGATTAGATCTTGCGCAAATATTGAAGGGTGACTTAGGCGCACCGTACGATTGTGTACTCCCGAGGTCGGGTCCATGCATAGATTTGAATCCTGAATTATCCGAGTCAAACACTCGGAGTCAGTGTCAAAACAGGCCGACTCCTTTCAGTCTTGCCGGCGGTGAATATTAAGGCATGTTGCCACGGTAATGCCCGCAGCTCCTCAACTCCGCGAGTTGGACCAAGAAAACGAAATGCCAAGCTGATCTTTATAACTGTCAATTGTTGCTGATAAGCTTCTATCAATTGTGAATTAGTTGAAAAGGTAAGTCACTGTGCTTGACTAAATGGGGAAGCGTTTTCTGCACTTTGAAATTGTGTCACGAAGAAGTTTTGGTCTTTTCGTTTACCTAAATGCAAATATTATGTTATTAGCGATCGTACTCTTTGAGCCGCACACGTTCTTTCCGACCATTTGCAATACCTCGATCGAACGAACCTCCTTCCTTACGACAAGGCTGAAATGACACACGAACATGATTGGACCACGACTGAGGTGCAGCAACGCGCGAGCTTCAGCCACCTTTGCAGCAACGTTCCTACCTCGCATAGTCTGAACTACGATCTGCCGTGAGAGGCACTTTCCTACAATGAAAAACCAACGGGAAGGAGCTGTCGGCGTGCATCAACGCATCACCAGCAATCCATGGGGCGCGTTCGTAACTCCACGATCCACGGAGGACGAGACCGACCCTCCGACAGACGATCTGACGTTACAAAATGCGCTTTAGCCTGGAACTGCATGTTTGGAGACCGTCAAGCCACTCTCGGTGTGAAAGATCCGGTGCCTTTAGAGCAAGGTCCAATCCTTGGTAGTGGTGGCCTCGGAGTTGTTTACGAGACAAAACTCGCTGGGATTGCGGTGGCTTGGAAACGTACATACAGCCGACGCCTTACCGAATGGTACCATAACGAAGTCAGGATCCTAGCTCAGATGAATACGAAGCGGCACAAACACGTCATCAATCTCATTGGTTCCTACATTCATCGCCAGAGGAATAGTACTTATGAACTTGCGATCCTAACGTGGCCAGTTGCGAGGTATGACCTCTCTGTTTTGCTTCACGAGATTGACCTAATCAACCAGTGGAAGAACCGCGACGGCCCTTGGGAGGAGGACGACCTGGCGACTCCGCCAACGGAAGAAGAGAAGGCAGCATATGAGAACTTGCTTCAGCTGGAGTAACTAGATCAACCATGGCCACGCGTGTTCACTTGGTACCTCCGAAAGACGCTGCTTGAAGCAATCTTACAACGATTGAGTCGATCAATCGGCTGCATCGCTGAAGCAGTGAAATACCTCCATCAACACAACATTCGCCATAAGGACATCAAGCCCTCCCAGATTGTCCTTTCATCCTCCGGACTCTGGCTAACAGATTTCGGCTGGTCTAAGGATATCACTCATCTCACAAGCAGCGAAACAAGCGGTGGCGACAGGATAACGCCGAGGTACCACGCGCCCGAGATGGCACAGATGGGAAAATGCGGGAAACCTGAAGACATATTTGCATTGGGCTGCACTTATCTTGAGATGAGATAGGCTAAAGGATCAACAGCCTCAACCCACGAGAGTACCTGAATCCACGACGATTACCCATGTGGACTTTTCAGGGAAATCCCAGTGCGATCGAATCATGGTTGGCGCCCTTCAGAATCGACACTAGCCCAACACGGTGGCTTCTCGGGGATCTTATCGAACAAATGATGTCGCTAGATCCGAGAAAACGGTCATCGATGGAACATGTCGTGAGAGACCTGCAAATCGTATCCTGGTCTGGGCAGGCCATCTTTTTCCATACGTGTTGCAGCAATGGTATGTGCTATAGTGCCTTACATTCTATTAGTCGTAACTGACGTTTGCTGCCGTAGACCACGTAGACCACTCGAGAGGCTTGTTTGACCAACAAGATGTGAGCTACGACGAATTCACGATCCCGGAAAACACTATCTCAGAACAGACCTCGAGTCGAACGCGTTCAGGTCTGGAAAATGATAGTGCGCAGCAAGTGGCTTCTTCCCCTACTCAACAACGTGCAATGTTACACAATCGAGCTGGCAGCCATATGTCTGATTATGGAAGTGTCGTTTCAGACCCATCTTGGGACGATATGGATTCCGTTGAGCAAGAAGATGATCCGAGGATTGATGATAATGACCCCGAGCTGAAGAAACTCATCAATGATGAGAAATCCGAAAATGCTGTTTCGGGTTTATTTGATCACGCCATGAACAACGACGTCATTGGTACTAACAGCATGGCCGAGGATCCGCTCAAGGGACGCGGATGGGCTAGACTTCCGTCCCCTCCACCAACAGACCGAATGGTAGCGGAGGGCCAAGCACACCATGAGGACCAATGTGAGCAGTCCCAGGGTGAAGACGGTGATGAAGATACAGAGACCTCGGACGACGAAGGTCCGCCATACAAGGAGTCTCAACAGCAGTCTCCTTCCGAACAGGGGTCAGAAAGGGACGGTGAGCTCCAAGGTCGTGCTAGACAACGGCGCGAGTTTGATCCCCGCATCAGCCTGATGTTCTCAGCCCATCAGAGACAATTGGAGGAGAGAGGGGAGAAAATGAGGATCGGCGACCTGGTGGGATCTTTTCGCTGAGCTGTTCTTATTCGCAAGGTGGACGGAGCTCCGAGCAGTCTTGTAGTAGGTTAACATGGGGCGGGAAAAGCTTCGTAAGCAACCACACGTTTGACTATATCTGAATTAAGTCGATAGATGTAGTAGCGTTCGGTGTATGACGAACCCACTGCTATTTGTATACGTACCTCGTCCAGCCACCGGCTTCAACTTGTAGAAAACTGCCTGATCAAGTAAGTCAGCATGTGCGCCTTAGCCAAAAAGTGCACTCCGGAATACTTCTTGCACGCCTTGCGTAATCGCCCCGACTCTTACAAAGAATGGCCTTGGTTTTGGCTTTTCGTCTTTGCTTCATCTTTCTCTCTCTTTTGGTGTTGTTCGGTCGCAATGGCGAAGCCTACTTGTTTTCGCCTTTTCGCTCTCAGCACCATTTGTGCCCTCACATCGGCTCTCTCTAACCTCAGGACTTGTACGGATAGCCACTGCGGACGATCCAACCAAACTATAGACATGTTGAATGACTTCCGAAACACGGCCTGCAAACCCTTAAACGTGGCTGTCGGAGGAAGCTTCCAAATCTTAGCATTGGATCCAGGATGTACTGGTAAGACAATCTCGAAATGATTGAAATCAATTTGGTTCAATGCTAAAGTAAATCAGTCATATTGTACGGAGGGAGCCCGGGCGAGATGATGTGTTCCCGTGGCGCAAAAGCCCCTGGTCGGGTTGAGACGTGCTACAATTCGTCCTGGATGTACTACTCAATTCAAGGTTGCCGGCCACCCACAGTGTCTGTTGCGGTTGCATCATCGGCTTCCGCGACTTCGAAATCCTCTGCCACGAACCACAACGAACGCGATAATCGCCAGCCGCGTCGCAAAGGTGTGGTTGCCGGAACCATTGTTGCAGCATTCGCAGGCACTGCGCTTGCCTTCACAGGTGTCTGGATTTTCAGGCGACGATGCTTCAGGGTTGAGCCAGTGAATGCCCACGAACTCGCTGGAGACCGTGCACTTGTTGAGACAGTGTCTGTAGAGAAGCAGGTGCCGAAGGAATTGTGGGGCGGTCACGCTGCAGTAGAAATGGGGCGGAATAGTCGGTTTGAGCCGCAAGCGGAAATTTCAGTAACGAAGCCCGAGGTGCAGGATTCAGACGAGGATGACCTATATCCCGAAATTCGTGTGCGCTTGATTATTTGACGAATGGATCTGTCGGACATTTTGTAAGCAAGGAGGTAGAGATGAGGTGTGATGGCTGTCTGATCGCATGAGTCTGGTGATAGCCTTCGTTTAGAGTGATTTTGGTAGCGAAACGAAGTGACATCATCGGCCTCACTTTCGCACGAAGTCATTGTTTCCTCGATTAGGCTTGCACACTTACACCAACGCCAGAAACTCAAGAGATGCCAATATCGAATTGCTTGGTTCCTACTTGCGACGCACAAGAATGTTGCAGATACTCACAAGGACCACAGAATGCCGCGGATGACTAAGGCGCTGGTACGGCGATCGTGTACCCACCGCTGCATCTATCGTCTCTCTCGCACACCCCAACACGGCGCCAGCGGGTCATCCATCTACCCGTCCTAGGCGTCGCGTATCATCTCATGCCCTTCGAAGCATAGCGAACGCGCACAGCTGCTGGCCAAGCCAACATTCGCGACGCTGGGCTTCCTTTTTGAGGCGCGCCAACGCAAGGCGATATGCACATCTCAGCTCTCAGCTGAAGTTGGTTCAGCCACACGACCAGCGCACTTCCATCGTCCGACTATCCTTAAGAATCCCTCCAACAAACGAAGAGATGGACGTTCTTGCTATATAAGAGATTTGTTTTGCGGCTATCTCATACAAAAGACACAAGCTATGGGCGTCATATGACGCCTTGCCTCCCCATAGTGAAGTGGTTTATCACGCCTGGCTGTAATGTTCAAAGCCTCCAGGAATCCCTCGTTCGATTCGCGGTGGGGAGATTAGCCAGTATCTTCTTTTTTGCATCTCTCTTTTGGTCGACGCGAGCATTTGGCTGTCTTCCAAGGTTACTTGCCGAGAATTGTGGCTGACCTGGTCGAGCTGAATGCAGGGCTGGATCCTACGAGCATCCGGGCCACCTTTTTGCGCACCCGCACATCTTCAGGATGCGGAACGCTTGAAAGATGTAATTTGGGTTCGCCTGCTAGTATATGAGATTGACAAACAATCGCACTCTCAGACAAAGACACAAGCCAAGCACATCACATGATGTGTTACCTCTCCTTGGTGTAGTGGCAGCACATCCGACTGTAATATCAATAACTTCGGAAGACCCTCGTTGTAAGTTCTTTCAAAAGTTCATGGATTCGAATCTCCATACTGACTCTCACAAGCGATCCGCGGAGGGGAGAAATTCGCAGCTATGCTGTCTATCTTTTTGCTGAATCACTTTCCCAGTTTGCTCCAAGTCTTGGTCTGCCGCAAGCTGAGACGTGGTGGCTGCCTGATGGTGAGCTGAAAGGCGGGCTGGACTCCGACATTCCTTTTTGGTCGCCTAACATACTAGCCCCAAACTGCGTGTTGCTCTACGGACTCATTTTCGCTGCCCCGGGAGATTCTGTGTAAATCACATCGTTGTTGTGCTATATTATTTTGAAAATTGAGCGTCTCATCATACAAGATACGCACTAAGCGCATGAAGCGCACACTCCTCTTAGTGTAGTTGGTTATCACGCTCGACTGTAATATTGCATTGTCTTCGAGAGGTCGGTCGGTTCGAATCCACCAGAGGAGACTTCAGCTACCAGCGCTTTATTTTTGCTCCGCTTGTTGGCTGCTTACGTCGACTTCCATGACGCTAACGGTATGCTACCTAGGTATGAGCTCTGCTCCACACACAATCCTCCTCTCCTATCCGCGTTTGAAACATGCATCGTGCAAATGGAGATATTTAGACGCCGTCTACTGCGCCCGCGATAAACACAACTAGGCAGTGACGGTCTGGTAACGTGGCGTGCGAGATCGCATGTGTGTGGATACAGCCAGAACGCCATCAAGTCAAGACTGCTTACTGTCGTCAAGCTGACTGTTCAAAGCATCCTCTCGAAAGTACAGTTCTTTTGGTTGAAGAGCGCGATCGTGGCATACGAATCGGCGTTAGCTTATCGGACTAGAGATGCGCACATCCAGCAGACGTGGCACAGATGTGGTAGCGACTGCCACTACGCTTTGTTCATATTCAAGACGCTGTCTCAGTAGAAAACTCCTGGCTCACGACATAAGTACAACACTATTTGGTCGTTAGTCCTCCTATCATAGGGCATGGATCGATCGTTCTCATGTGACCGCGGTGCACCTTCCGCACGCATGCGCCTGCCGCTTCCAGCCCCCCTCGGTTTCCGGCCCGCCCCACAAGACCGGAAGAACACAGCGCCGCGGCGCGTTCTTCAATCACGAACACCAAACTGCGCCTGCAGGCCGCTGCTGAGGTCTTACATCGAGGACATTGGCTATGAGCATCGGGTGACGGAGATCTTTGCATTTGGACGGTCCCTTTATTTGCATGATCGACTCAGATCAACCGCGCATGACGCAACCGCTGCCATCACCAGCAATATGTACGACTTCAATGAGGCGCGATCACCTCTGACGAACGACAACGTGCAATCATGGGCTCGCACGAATTTTTCCACACCATTTCGCGCGCTCCCCAGATTCGCGAGGCTGAATTGGACCGGTTTCGATGAATTTACGATGAGCAGGCCCGTCTGGAGATCATTAGGACGCTCGTCGCACAAGCAATTGCTCGTCATAGGAGGATATGCCCCAGGACCAGACATCGAGGAAGAACCAACCGATCGCGTGGTAGCACATGTTCATACAGACGAAGCCGAAGTTAGCTTTTATCGGATCGCCGAGACTGAGGACACGGACATTCTCGAATTACAGCCAGTAAATTCAACAGCCACGGTCGCATTCCATGCGCCTTTTTGCCACGTGGGTGACGATACAGGTGGTTCTAAAGCAATTCATCGCGTTTCGGCTCTGATTTTATATTATTTTCTTGCAGCTGGGCATGTGCGAGAGCTGGTCAGAAACAAATCAGATCCAACCATGTTCACCAGGAACTTCAAAGATGCGTGCGCTTGGATCGAAAATGACGGGGAACGTCCAATATTACCACCGTCAAGGCGGTCGTCAGGATTTGTTTTATCACCGCCGCTATGTAACACCGTCCCAGTACGGCCGAAACGATCATCAACAATATGTACGTATCCAACGTACGACAAAATTCAAACATATTAGCTAACGTGAACAAGCCTCCTTATCACAATCAACAACGACAGAAGACACACCAGCACCGCCCATAACACGATCAGCAACCGACAGCATCAGCGTAAAGATAAAGCGCGAACGAGACGAAGACACACTCATACGACCAAAGAAACACCCCCGGCGCACCCTCAGCGAGCAAATTGTTATCACTAAATTTCAAGACTCGATCCTAAGCCCCCAAAGCCCCGTACCCAGGAGTCCAGCCCCCGAACGCGTCAACAAAGCGCTCACAGACCGGATCCAGCACCTCAAGGACGAAAATGCAGATTTGAAAGCCGACATTGGTGGCCTAGAGACGGAGAAAGACGAGATAGCGCGGCGCATGGCGAAAGAGCTTCGGAGTATACGCGCTATTAAAGCGGAAAACGAGCAAATGAAGCAGGATTTGGCGACGGTGATGACGAGGCTTACGAGTGTGGAAAGCGAGATGACATTAATAAGAGCGAAAGTGGAGAAGAGAGCTAAGGGATGAAAAGACGTGGATATATCCTGGACATGCTCAACCATCACATATTGGGTTTTATTCCACTTAATTATCTCGACGCCTTCATCATTCTGGCCTGGCATAAGTTGCTAGCGCAAGGGCACACGTGTTCAACGATTGGGCGTCAAAGCGTCGCTGGTTGTTATCAAATGCTCCTATACGGTATACCCTATCTTAGCGGAATATTGGGCGCAGCAATTTATTTGGGACGTCAAATGTTCATCACGTCTACTTTGTACATTTGGCTTCACAAAGATGTGTTCTTTCAACACCGTGGGCAGTGCAATCTACTCTTTCAGCGTCCAGCAGAATAAAAAGTACGCCTAGATATCGACGCGATCTTTCCGGGCCGCTGTTCCAAAAAGGAACCCGAGACTACCCCAGCCCACCCTAAACGCTGCCGGATTCACACTGCGATTGTGTCAAGTTCAATTTTCCAAAGCCTCGGTAATAGTCAGATTTCAATTTTGGGTAATGGAGTTTTGTGCCTTACATTCATACCCTGGTAGCCAGAGCGAATCCGATTCTTGCGCCGACACCGACACCCAAGATGATGTGACAGAGCCTGTTTGGTGAGTATGAATGCAGGATGACATGTTCCCTCCAAAAACAAAAGTCCAAAAACAACGACGAAAGCAATGCAAACTGCGCGGTGTTGGCAGCACCGGCAGGTTACGTACCTGGATAGTTGGATCTCAAGGATCTTGGTAGATGGAGAATGTTCTCGAAATCGTGGTGACAAACGATTTCAAATGACGCGTGGAGTAGCGATACTTGGCGACGTGAAGTTCGACAAGCAGTGATGCGATCCACCATCAGAGCATGCCTGCGGCTGCCAAATCCCTGTAGACCTTCTCAGGCATGACGTTGCCTTCAGTGTCTTCCATCTCCACCACGTTCTCAGCTTGTGTCTTCTCTTTTTTCTTGTCCTTCTGGATCTTCCGCCACAGCGCCTCGGCTTCGTCAATGTGGGTGATTTCGCGGAAAAGGGAGGTGTTGGTAATGCCAAGACACTTTAGGCCGTGAATATGACGAGGCTCGTTGAAGTGTTTATCGAACGCACGGCGGCCCATGTAGACGAAGTTACCACAAATCTGGCAGGGGAATTCGACGCCCAGACCATGGAGCTTGTACAGCCAGAAGGGAATAGGTTTGCCATCCCAGGCCAGAGGGAGTTTCAGAGGGTTGTATATCTTGTCTTCGCCTTCCGAATCGTCCTCGTCCTCCTTTGCTCCAGCTTCCGGTGCCTCTGAGTAGAGCTGCTCCAGCTCTTGTTGGCGCTCGCGCTCAGTCATACCCTGCTTCCGCTCCACGTTGACCTTGGTGTCGCCTCGCTCGGTCTGCATAGCTGCTGCGAGCTTCTTGATCCGAAACTCTCGCTCGGCCACCACGCGCTCTTTGAAGCGTTGGATGTTGCTAGACGCGCCGTTCGAGGTGGCTGCCGCGTTAGTTGATGATGCGCCGTTACTCTCCTGCATAGCTTTCTTGTGCTTCTTGCCACTCAGATGCGCTTCGTAGACCGTCTCTTTTGAGAAGCCCTTTTTGCAGGCTGAGCACCAGATACCCTCGCATAGTGCGCCACCATTGGCTGAAGACGCCGTCAGTGCTTCCTTCTCCCATCCCGGGACTTCTTCTTTTGCCCACAGCTCCTCGAACTCCTTGTCAAAGTTAGCGAAGAGCTTGTCCAAGTTCTCCAAAGGCTTCGTCCTCCGCATGAAGCCCTCGAGGTAGCCTTGCAGCGCCTTCAGATACTGGAAGTATGATTCTGACTTCTTCTGATCACGACGAATGTTGTTCTGCGGCGGAGAGAAGGCATCGAAGAGATCAAGATATTGGAGATAGGTCAACCGGCGGGCGTGCTGATGAACGGGTAAGTTCAGGTACTGCTCATGCAGCGTGGTCAGGTCGAAGAACCGACCAAAGCCTTCCTCACCGGTGAACATGGCGTCGATAACAGCAACCGATTGCGCGCGGTCTTCGGGTGAACGCTTCTTGTATGCCTTCTCCAGATTCTCGACGGGCTCGTTCGGGTAGCGGCGGTGGAAGTCTTTGATGGTGGAGATCTCTTTCATGAACGACTCCATCGGGTCGCCCAAAGTGAGGTTACGGACCTCCTCCTCTTTGGTGCTGTCGACGTCTTGGTAGATGGTGAGTAGCCGGCTCGACTGACTCTCGATCTGCTCGAGAAAGCGCGCGATGTCATGATCACGTGCAAGACGGTCGCGAATCTTCAAGATTGTTAGCTTCCAATGTTTAGAACGCGCGATGCAGGCACTCACGTGTGGTGGATCTTCAAGCAAGAGCTCGGCGCAGGCATCCTCGAGGCGCTCCAAGTCCTCGTGGATCTGGCGCTGTTCTTCCAGAAGCATTGTTGCGGTCGCCTGTGAGATGGATGAGTTACGCGATAGGTAGTAGCTGACTGGCAATGTGCAAACCTCTTGGCGGCGTCGGTGTTGGAGAAGAGAGCTCGAGCTTCCGCGGGCGAGATAAATCCATATCGCGCTAGTGGGTGAATAGTTTCGCCGGCGCGCCGCCTTCGCAAAGCTTGGCCGTTGCAGCTTCCGAACTTTCTTGCGCGTCACTCTCGACCCGACATCCTCACATTCAGAAGAGAGCACCACTCATATCCAACATGGCGGACGGAATCGATCGAAATGCGGACGAGAAGATGGAGTTTTCAACATCGAAGGAGGTCACGGTAGCTCCTACCTTCGAGGCTATGCACTTGAAGGAGAATCTGCTACGCGGCATCTACGCATATGGATATGAGTCGCCTTCGGCAGTACAGTCGCGTGCGATTGTGCAGGTCTGCAAAGGCCGCGACACCATTGCGCAGGCGCAGTCTGGAACGGGAAAGACCGCAACCTTCTCCATCTCCATTCTACAGGTCATCGATACAGCAGTGCGCGAGACACAAGGTGAGAAATGGCTGTGCTATCCTCAAACAATGCTTACTTTGTGCAGCGCTGGTTCTT